AGAGAGAGAGAGAGAGACAGAGAGAGACAGAGAGAGACAGAGAGAGACAGAGAGAGACAGAGAGAGACACTGTTCTTTCTTCTAAGCGGCGGCCCATCCCTTCACTGGAAGCCAAAGTTTTGTCCTTCCCTCCGCGTCCCTCGCCGCAGCGAGCGCTGCCCCGGCCGCGGTGGCACCGGCAGGGGACGCGGGGCGCGCGGGTCATCACCGCACTCCCTGGGCACAGCTGGCGCATGCTGTGGGCGCCCCTCTCCCGCCTCTCAGGCCAGTCCGCGGGGCCCCTAGCCACAGCCTCTGCCCGGGGCGCGGGTCAAAGAGCACCCTGCGCCCTTGGTAACCGACACAAAAACGTGCAGGCAGCCTGGTCAGGTCAAGGTGCAGGAGCTGCGTCCCGCGGTTCCTTCCGGAAGGGGGCGTGGAGCCGCCAAGGGCGCACGGACCGCGCCGAGGCCCGCGTTTTGCGCCTTTCTCCCTCTCCACCCTCTGCTGATCAAAGTAGGAAGTTTGCCTGACAACCGCGGTGAAAGAGGCTGCATCACAAATGAACTCGGTTTCTGCAGTGTTGATATATCCAGCCTCCTTTGTCCCCTTTCACTCGCAGTGTGAACCCTTCCGGTGCCAACGACCGCGCGACATTCACAGGCGCGCCCGGGCGCACAAAGGGTCTCCGCGCTTCGCCGCCATCTGGCCGCAAATCTGATCCGCCAGCGCGGCGGAATTAACATGAAAGGGAGTGCGGCGGGATGGGCTGATTATAAACCACCCCGATGCCACCATCAGCCCGGTTTCAATAAGGAATCAACTCTGTACAAACACGTTCAAAGGAACCCAGAAGACGAGAGTGTTAGAGAAAAACGCCACTCCCTGCCCGCCGCACCTGCCGCGCACAGGTAAAGCCCTTGGCCCCAAACTTGACAGAGTTTGACTTTGAGCTGCTCGCTGGGCCCAAGCGTTCAAATTTACAATGAAATGATTTGTTGTTCTAGAATACGCCACAGACCTCTGAGTCCCTGAAGTACCAAGCTTTTTGTATTTTTTTTTAACTCATGAATGTTTTTAATTTTTTTACAAAAATGTCTATTCGAAGTGCGCATTCCAAATGCAAGTTGATTTTTATGTCTGTGCCTAAATGATCTCCTTCAAGCTTTGGAAGCTGTAAAAAGGAATACACAGGTTAACAAACAAAATGGCAACTTTATTAACTGATAGAAACCAAGCATTAAACATGTGAGAGTCACTGGAAAAAGTTCTAAAATGCAAAGGTAATATTTTAAAATTACAGTTAGTCCAGGCAAATCATTAACAGAAAGATCAGCGGTGTAATTGCTTTCTGAGGTGTCGTGTTTTTAAGTATATTTCCCTATCTGATACATATATATGTATATAAATATAGCAGTTTCTGGGAGTCAATGAGGCAGTATTTTACTTGAAAGCGAAGAATGGGCTCTCATTTAAAAATCCAACTGTGATCTGGAAATTCAGCCTCTCTCCCTCCCTTCCTCTCCCCCTCCCCTCCCCTCCCCTCCCCTCGGGAAAGTAAACAGAATGGATGTTTGGGGGTGGGGACCCAGCAGGGCCTGGAGGGCCAAAGGTCTGGCTCTGAAAACTCTTCCAAGCCCCATCCTCAGACACCAGGCACTTCCTTCCAGCCCGGCCACCCTAGCAACCGTTTTGTTGATGTTGATTGTATTTTTAAACTGACCCAGCCTTCCAAGCAGAACCACGAAGGCCTTCAGGACTGATTTTGAGGGCCCTGTCATCTCTTGTCCTGGCTGTGATTTTTTAAAACAGTTTCCCCACATTAAAGCTTTCTCCATAAGGATGGATTGTTTTTCTTATCCTGAAAGTGTAATCTTACGTGTTGGAATCCAGCGGTAGTGTGCCTATTTTAAAACAAGTACTCCATATTAAAGAAATTTCTATCATTTTCTAAGTCCGGGAAGGCTGATTAGCTATTTGATGCAATTCGATAACCCTTTGGAATCATGATTTTTTTCAAAGTAGGAGATGGTTCCTGGCTGATAGCCGGAAGACACTGTTACCTCATGCACCAAAACAGGAAAGGGAATAAACCCAAGGTGGGAAAAAGCAGAGGTCAGCATATTTAAAAAATGGATCTTAAAAATCCCAAAGCATCAGAATTCTCAAAAAAGCATTTAAGAAAATGATGGTTATCATAGCAGCTTTTTTCCCCAGGTTTTTTTATTAGTCCACGTTTACAGTGCACAATGATTACAATCCTTGTTGAGAGTTGCTCCGTGTACACAACACATCTTGATTTTGCTAAAATAGACATGATTAGAGCTTAAAATGATTCTCCTTACCTGAATTACCTTTGGAAAACTTAAATGCTGTTCATAGAATCATTGAGCCTCTTTGCTCCTTAGACTGTCTTAATTCTAAGAGTGCAGTAAGTATTGGGGCAAGCGGAGTAAAACTGAATCTTTCTTTCTGGACTGTGAAGATTTTGAATGGTGCTTGTCACTAAAGCAACTCCTATTGTAATCTTAGGGGAACCTTGCCGCTGCCCTCTGAGGATGGCCTCAGAGATACTAACCTCATTAAAATATGAATGGAAAGGGCTGCAGTGGCCACTGCCGCTGTATCCCAAGAAAACTGCCTCACTGGCACAGTTTTCTTATCTGTCCTGTTTTACTTGTTTCATACAAGTTAGAAATGGGAAGATGATGTGCGGCCATTTCATTGCTGTATTGGAGTATCCCCATCCAAGGAAACCCTAACTTCTCTGTGTCTTGAAGCCCACCCTCAACTCTAATGCATAATATAAGCAGTGCCTTTTTCTTCCCTTAGACTTCTGACCATGCACTTGTTAAGCAGCAGCAGATTGAGGGTGGGAGGGACCTCCCTAGCCCAATTTAAAAATGGAAAAAAGTAGTAGAAAGTTCTGGCTTGGGTTTCTCCAGAAAGCTCCAGCCAAGGAGTTTATTACAGGCTACGATGACACACTTTAATAACAGTCAATTACACGATGCCGCCCGTGTTTTTTCATTACTGTGTCTCTGTTAATCTTGTAGTAAATTTCTTGGTTGATAACTATCACAATCAGGCAGGAGTACAATTATGGGAGTGCACGATTGGATGTGGAATCTGGTGTGTGGTGTGTCTGTCTCTGCCATTACAGTCCGGTAGTCGCCAAAAAACGTCATTCATCTTTATCGTTATTTTGGACTTTCCTTCATATAGGAAACTGGTACCTAACATGTTTAGTGACTGATAATTAATTTCACATTGTTGCAAAGATTTTTCTTTCTGGAGGGTTGGTTAATGTAGAAATTTTAATTGCATTGTGACAAATATTGCATCTAGTTTAATCACTAACTTTTCATCCATAAAAAATGGAATCACTGTTATTAGTTAAAAAGTCAATATTTAGAACTGAAAATTCAGAGTTCCTTGCTTTAGGCTACAACAGAACCGTGAATTCAGAAATTCTTCTAAGCAGATGAGATATATAATTAGCTTTTATGTAATTTGTTATGAGTTGGTTGTATGATGTTTCTTCATATAATATGCCAACAGTACTGACCATCTGGTTTTCTGACAATATAATTAAAAATCTAAAGGTGCTTATTTTGATGAAGAGTAATAAAGGTTGATAAATTTCTAGTGTTCTATGTATCAGAAAAAAATGAACTGTGTCTGAGCATCATCAATAAGAAATTTTGGGGTAGCCTTCTAAACAACAAAGGTGATTGCCGTTTTACTGACTTCACATTAGTGATCATGAACTCTGGGTTCGCACGAGTGACCATGTGCCCTCCACAACATCTTGGAGGGAAAACACAAAGACTTCCGTATGACTTAGCACAAACAAGTGTGCATTTTTATTTTTTATTTATTTATTTTTTTGGTACCACGGATCGAACTCGGGTCCTTGCGCATGCGCAGCAAAGCAGGCCGCGAAACCACTGAGCTAAATCCCCGACCCAAGTGTGCGTTTTAAAAATAACATCTAATTTTTGCCTCCTATAATATGAATAATGGAAATCAGCCTTTCTTTTTTAAAATAAAATGGTCAACAAGTGTTTCCTGCCCTTACTATTCCTGGACGTATATGCATAATACATATTCAAAGTGTTAAGAAAAAAAGTAATTAAATGAGAACAGTGTGATAGGAGGCAGTCACAGAATTCAATCACTTTTTTAAATTCTGGAGGTTGTTTTCAACTTAGTGACAAAATAGAAAAAAAATCGTATAATGACCATTTAGTGTGCCGAAAATGGAGGGAGGCTGTCGTGTACTCAACGTGAGTTTTTCCTGAAGTCAAAAGCATATACCTATCACTCGTAAATATAAAGCTGGCACTGCTCTTTGAATTCCTGTTTTTAAAAATGTCCTGTTAGTCTTCAAAAAAAGCCTATTAAGTTTCAAGCACTCTAGGTAAAACTGACTACCACTATCTGCAGGAGAAATGCTACCATTTTCCCTCTCCATGACAGTCACGGAAGCTAGAATTTGGGCTCCTGATTCATGCTGTGTCTGGCTCTGCCTCCAGCTGGC